TCGGCCACACGCAGATGGGGGCATGTGGGAGGGGGCGCCTTCTACGACGCATTCCCCCCTCCCACTACCCCCTTGTGCGCGTCGCCCAAAAACCGTGTGGTGACGGACCGAGTGTTGACCTCGAAATCCCCAACGTCCTCACCGCGCGGTCTTGGGACCTCGGAAGCCACAGTCTCCCGAGTTGTCCTCGGAGAACGGCCCGAGTCCCAACACCGTGCGGTGACCCCGAATCCCTACTGACTCACCACGCGGTGTGGTCACTACACTGTTTGGGGCCCCCCGAGCATTGAGTTGGGGCCTTCGCCTGGCAAATCTCACCCTCCCCCCCCTGTGCTGTTGGGTCCTCGTTATCTCTCCGCAGCGCCGCGCATCTCGTTCCTCACCCCTCCCCCTCACTCCTCCTCCTCTTCTTCCTCCTCCTCCTCCTGTCACTACGTTCCGCATGCTCATTCCTGCGCACCCCTTACACGTTCCGTGCTCGACGGGGAGCTCCACCTACGGCCCCAGTGGGCGCGTTCGCATGGCGCTGCCCCGCCCAACCCGGCGCACCCCTCACACGTTTCGTGCCCCACAGAGAGCTCGACCTACGTTCGCATGGCGTCGGCTCACCTAATTTGGCGCACCCCTCACGCGCACCGTGCCCCATATGGAGATCCACCTGCGGCCACAGTGGGTGCATGCTGCTGCCCCCCCCACTTCGTTACACCCTTTACACGGCTAGTGCGCCATAGGAAGCTCAACCCCCGGTCCCAGTGGGCGCGTTCGCATGGCCCCCTGCCCAGTTCGGCGCACTCTTCCCACTTCCAGCGCCCCATATTGAGCTCCAGCTACGGTCCCATGGGGCGCGTTCGCATGGCGTTGCCCCGTCCATTTCGGAACGCCCCCTCGCGCGGATCGTGCCCCATAGGGAGCCCCACCTGCGCCGCTGGTGGGCGCGTTCGCGTGGCGCTGCCCAGCCGGTTTCTGGCGCACGCCCATCACGTGGATCGTGCCCCACAGGGAGCCCCACCCCTGCGCCCCTGGTGGTCGCGATGGCACGGCGCCGTACGCCGCCGTGCCTTGGCGGGTAGTCTGCGCGTGGCGCCCGCACTTGGCGTCGGCGGGCGGCCAGAGAGAGGTGTCCAGTATCGGGTTGACAGAGGTCGAATAGCAAACAAAGGGCACGAGCATCAACTTTTGGAGCTCCGCTCGGGTTTCTGGGATCTGCGCTCGTTCCCCCCCTGGCGGCGCTTCTGGCGCCGCTCTTGGCGCGCGGAGCGCGCCAGGGAGGGGGCTCTGGCGCAGATCCAAGAAATCCGTGCGGACCGTCGGAAGCTCATGCTTCTGCTTCCTGTTCCTCCTCTGATGAGTCGGTGCTGATGGTTGGGCCCTTCGCCAAGGCAGCTTCACGGCGTGGGGGGGGGTCTGAGATTTCCTGCTCTCCGGTGTCTTTGCTGTTGCTCCCGCGCTGCCCCGCAGCGCGCACTGCCCCGCGGCGCGAGGTGAGCGTGGACAGAGGGCCGCGCCCCTGCGCGGCGCGCGGCTGCATGGGGGTTGGGTCCCTCGCCTGGCTGGTGTTTGCTTCGGGGTGTCTTCCCGTCGGAGCTCCTCCTGGCCGGTGTGCGCGGGGGAGGGCCTCTCGGAGGCGGCAGGCTCCATCGCCCGCCCTGAGCTTCTGCTCCCTTCTCTTTTCCCGCCCTCTTCCCTTCCTACCTCTTACCTCCTCCCTACTCCCCGCTCCCTCTTCCCCCTCCTCTTCTCTCCTCCCCCTCTCTCCATTCCTTCTCCTCTCTCCCCTCCCTCTTTCCTCTTCGCTCCTCCCTCCTTCTCCCATCCCGTCTTCCACCCTCTTTCCCCCCGCTGCCAGAGTCAGCTAAAATCGGTGCGCTGAATTTTCCCAAGCTCCATGCTGCCATTATTTCCCAAACGCGTCCAGTCGATGACGAGGGGGGACCCAAAAGGCTCAGAGAGGGGGAGGAGGAGAAGGAGGAGTAGGAGGAGCAGGGAATGAGGAGAGGGAGGAGGAGGAGGGGGAGGAGGAGGAGGAGGAGGAGGAGGAGGAGGAGGAGGAGGAGGAGGAGGAGGAGGATGGAGGACCAGGAGCAGGAGGCGGAGCAGGAGCAGGAGCATGAGCAGGAGAAGGAGCAGGAGGAGGGGGGAGGTAGGGTGAGGAGGGGAGGGGGAGGGAGAGGATGAGCATGAGGAGGTGGATGAGGAGGATTCCCCCTTTTCCTCCTCCGTCTCCCTCCTTTTCCACTCCTCTCCCTTCTCTACTTGCCGTCCCTCCTCCTCCTCCTCCTCCTCCTCCTCCTCCTCCTCCTCCTCCTCCTCGTCCTCCTCTCCTCGTCCTCCTCGTCCTCCTTGTCGTAGTTAGTCGTCGTCGTCGTCGTCGTCCTCCTCCTCCTCCTCCTGCCTTCCCCCCATCACTTCCTCCATCCCGGAAGGGGCCTGCGCCTGCGATTGCCCTGAACCACTCCGGGCTGGAGTGGAGGGGGCTCTTCGCGGACAGGGCTGATTGGTCGAACTTTAAGCAGGCGGCGCCTGGGATACCCCCGCTGGAGGAGGGAGGGAAGGATGGAGGATTGAAGAGGGAGGGTGGAGGTGGTCGAGGAGGCCCAAGGAGGAGGTAGAGGAGGATCATCGCGGCTGTCAGTTGGCGCAAGGGTAGGACTCCATCGCTGGTGAATGGAGGAGGAGGAGGAGGAGGAGGAGGAGGAGGAGGAGGAGGAGGAGGACGAGGAGGAGGAGGAGGAGGAGGAGGAGGAGGGACGGGGAGGGGGGGGAGGAGGTTTTATCGTCATTACCGCTTTCGACCCCTTGTCGACTTGCGATGATCGGGCTATTGCTGTGCTTGTTACGACTCCAGTCTTTTGTATCACCGAGTATCACCAGGGAGGAGGAGGAGGTTAGATGCGGTCATCCCGCCAATATCTGCGCAATGCGAAGAGGAGGAGGACGAGGAGGAAGAGGTGGAGGAGGAGGTGGAGGAGGAGGAGGAGGTGGAGGAGGAGAAGGAGGTGGAGGAGGAGGAGGGGGAGGAGGAGGACGACGAGATCGAGGACGAGGACGAGATCGAGGACGAGGACGAGGAAGAGGAGAATGATGATGATGATGATGATGATGCTGATGATGATGATGATGCTGATGATAATGATGAGGATGATGATGCTGTTGATGATGATGATGCTGATGAGTATGATGATGCTGATGCTGATGCTGATGCTGATGCTGATGCTGCTGATGCTGATGATGATGCCGATGCTGATTCTGATGCTGATGCTGATGATGATGATGCTGCTGATGATAACGATGCTGATGCTGATGCTGATGCTGCTGATGCTGATGCTGCTGCTGATGATGATAATGCTGCTGCTGATGATGAGGAGGAGGAGGACGAGGAGGAGGTTGATGATGCTGATGATGATGATGATGATGATGAGGAGGAGGAGGAGGAGGAGGAGGAGGAGGAGGCGGGGGAGGCGGAGGAGGAGGCGGAGGAGGAGGAGGATGAGGTGGAAGAGGAGGAGGAGGAAGAGGAGGAAGAGCTTATTCGTGGCAATGTTTGCGCAATGCGAGGAGGAGGAGGAGGAAGAAGAAGAGGAGCAGTGTCAGCCCAGGACCCGTCAACAATGTTGCAATAAACCTTCCCTTCACGTTCACTCTTCACAGGGCCCTACAAGGATTCATTTTCACTGAGGGAATTTCGTCGTTTGAAGACAACCGTGTACAAAAAAAAACGGACCGAGCCAGAACATCATTTATGGAACTTCAACGCCGCGAGGCAATTTTAGTGTTGTGTCCTGACGATCCTGAAGCGTGCTAGAACACCATCAAGGCCGCGAATCAACGTGACTGTTGCGCCCTGACAGTCCTACATCGTGCCAAACACCATTTGTGGGACGTCAGCCACCAGTATCCTTGAAAGTGCTGTACACTCTTCAGACGAATCTGCACGGCGCTAAGGCGAGAACCACATTTGGACATGGAGCTGCCATCCATCCGTGAAGCTCCTGCAAACTTTAAAGGCGAATGCGCGCGGCGCCATAGCGTGAGGCATATGTTGAAAACCACACGTGCTCTATTCGTGCAGCCCTCGTACACTTTGAGACTTCAGACGAATGTGCGCGGAGCTAAAGCGAGAGCCGCATTGTGAAAGCGACCCGTCCTCCGTTCGTTAAGCTCGTGCAAACTTTGAGAATAATGCTAGCGGCGCTGCGGCGAGAGCCACATTTGGAAAGCTTCCGCCCTCCATCCGTGAGGCTGCTGTCCATGTTGAAGCTTGGGGATCCTCGATGGTGAGGGTGTCCCGAACGAAACGACCGGCCCGCCCCACCGACACGTCTCGAGGTGCGACAGGGAGGAGCTATTGACAAGGCAAAGGGACGGAGGAGGACGAAGAGGAAACGGGGGGGAGGAGGACGTGGACGTGGAGGGGGGAGCACCTGGAGAAGGGGGCGCGGGCGTGGAGGACGGCCTCCGAGAGCGCAGGCGACGCCCTGGGGAGCGCTCCCCGTGCTCGAGGTGCCCGGGGTCGGCAAGATCGGGCACGAGGCGGCGCCCCCCGGGGCCGGGCAGGGCGCGGGCTGGTCAGTGCCAAGGGGGTCACCTTTGGGGGGTCGCCAGCTCCTGCGAATGGAAGTTCCAGGATCGAAGCTCGAGCAGGTTTTCTGGATGCTCGGGGCAGTTTCGGAAGGGGCTCAGGGGTGCTCTTGGGAGACGACTTTCTCGAGGGAGCTGCGTTTCCTTGAGGAAGCGGCGTTGCCCCAGCAGCGAGAGTGGACCTTCCCCGGAGTGACCTCTAGCGTGCAGCTTTCGGGGTGGCTTTGTTCTGCTCCTCCTCCGCCTTCTCCTCCTCCTCCTTCTTATTCTCCTCCTCCTCCTCCTCCTCATTCTTCTCCTCTTCCGCCTCCTCCGCCTTCTCCTCATTCTCCTGCTCTTCCACCTCATTATCCTCCTCTTCCTCTTCCTCCTACATTTTCTCCTCCTCCTCCTCCTCCTTCTACTCCTCCTCCTGCTCATTCCTTTCCTCCTCCTCCTCTACTCCTCCTCCTCCTCCTCCTCCTCCTCCTCCTGCTTCGGGATGCGCTCAAGCAGCTGCGCCTCGCCCAGAGCGTTCCAGGCGGGTCCCTATCGTCCCACTCTGCCCCCGCGTGATGACCCGAAAGCCGAGTGGCCCTTCGCCCGAGTGGCCTCTGTTGCGCGGTTTTCGGGCGGCGCGTGGGGCCGGACCCAGACCCCCGACGACATAGCATTTGTTTTGCAGTCTGGGCGTTTTTAACAGATTTTGGTCCCGAGGGCTCGTTGTCTGGTCCCAGGACCATCAAAAATGAGTCCCGGCGAAGATCTGGTCTGGGGGAAGAGGTCGGGACCTCTAGGGCCGCGC